AAAAGAAAATGGATTTATTATTCTGACTAAAAATAACAATAAGCTAGACCATACGTGTCAAACTCAAGGCCCGGGGGTCAAATGTGGCCCTCGTTGACATCTTATCTGGCCCTCAGGACGATATGTGAAACATAAAATACTTTTATCACTTGAATTTTTTCAGTGATCTTTGATTATGATGCTGAAAGCACAACAGAGAACATCAAATGAGACCAATCAAACTCTTGTTGAGGAACATGTGACCAAAATAACATGTTGAGGATCTGATTTGAATTAATGTAGTTTCTGAAATTGGCCCTTAATTTGAAAAAGGTTTTAATTTTGGCCCCCTTTTGTAAGTGAGTTTGACACACTTGAGCTAGACAGATATTTTACCATTAAGACCTAAGACCACTAAATTTAGGCCAGAGTTGGGTGTTATCTATTTGTTTTTATTTATATCTTTAAAGCTTTCTCAAATAATACTCCAGTTTACAGTAATACTGCCTGCCTATATTGATGCTTTTAGGACTTTTAGTAGGTTTTTATACTTTTTTAATGGAAAACTTTTATAGTTGTATGTATTTTAAGATGCATCACAAATGTGGTGGATAGTGAATTGTTTTTCAAACGTCAGAAATCTGGGTAGTTAATCTTGAGACACACAAAATGTGTAACTCAGAAATGTGGAAGGGCTGAACTCGGACAGTCTATGACGTGCACATATTTATTAACCTTAATTTAATCAGGCAAATCCCATTGAGGTCACAGATCTCTTTTGCAAGGGAGGCCTGAGCCTGAAGGCAGCCTAACATGCATGTTTTTGGTCTGTGGGAGGAAAATGAAGTACCCGGAGAAAACCCACGCAAGCACGAGAAGAACATGCAAACTCCACCCAGAAAGACCCCAGGTCCAACCGGGGATTGAACCCAGGACCTTCTTGCTGTGAGGCGACAGTGCTAACCACTGAGCCGTCGTGCTGCCAACATACATAACAGACGCATGCACAAGATGGCTGAGTGAGAAATACAACTGGAAGGAAATAATTGGAAATATTTAAATGATTGGCTTTAAAACGACAAGGGAACGACACGGGGAGGAAGTAGGCGGGGAGCATCAACATATTTGTAATGCATCAATAATTGTTTTATCATTGCACACAGCCCTCCGAACTGTAATCAAAGTGTTAGATGCTCAGAGATTCCAGCGTGTGCCAAAAATTGTTAGATTTTATCAATAAGTAAATAAATAACTGTCGGAACAAACAAGTTCATAGTGTGACTGAATCGTGTTGTAATGTGCAAAAGATTTCTCGCTTGAAATGCCAGAAAAATAACTTTAGCAGGTCTGTGCAGTGGACCCTTGTAAAATGCTGTCTGTGTTGCAGAACAACGGATTTGAAGTTGTGCTTGTAGCATTCTTTCACAGATGGGAAAACGATGTTAGATCCTAACCATAGGAGGATTATGGCTACAGGCAGTTCCTTCTTGTGTAGGGACTCCTTAAAGTGAACTTTTTGGGAGACTTTAGTTTGTGCACTTTCCTCCATTTCTTCATTTTTTTTTTACTCTGATAACAGCTGCTCCTTAAAAGCTGTCGCAGCAACAAAGACCAACATAGTCTTGTCTTGATAAATTGGGTTTATTTATTTTACAAGATTTCTGCTATTACAGTGACTTTTAAGTCATTTTATTAGGTTTTAAAAATGAACGGGATGAAGATGCATTTAAAGCAATGTCGTAGTTATTTTTGAGGCTGTATTGAAACACATGCATTCATACTTATAAGGGGCAAAACAACAAAAGACAATATAAGCAAAGCATTTTGTATTTGTTGGGTAAATGACATATTTACAGAGTTATTTGGTGTTGAAAGAACACATTAATTTAATCTTACTGTGATCCATTTGTGGTCCCGCGGTCCTTTTGCGGTCCTGGTCCTGTGGTCCTGCACTGGAGTGCATCCTGTGCTCCAGCATCAACGTGTGGCACGGGGGCTGCACAGCTAGAGAGAGAAAAGCTCTGCAGAGAGTGGTGAAAGCTGCACAGTCTGTTGGAGTCAGCCTCCCCACCATCACAAGCATCTACACCTCCAGATGCAGGAAGAGAGCCATGTCATTCCCCGATCTGTTACGGAAGCACGATCTGTAGTGTCAGCTCATTTGTGCACATTCTAAAAGTAATATTTCTAGGTCGCACGTATCACCATTGAATATGCAAGATTAAGGAAAATATACTGGAACTATCCTGTAAAATGTTTCAATACAACACATAGTACGATCTTCATGTTGTTAATTTACGACACTCATATTTCCGTTAAAATCACTGACATATTTACGTCATTGGTTAAAATGATATGTGATGCATATTTAGGGTACCGTTAAAAAAAAAATATATATATATATATATATATATTTTTTTTTTTTTTTAGAGTGATGTAGTACAGCTTCACCACTGAGCGGTGTGGTTTCACCATGGAAATAATTCATTCTGTATCTTGCAGGGTTAATATGTCAATGATTTTAAGGGAAATACAAGTGGTGTAAATTAGCAACACGAAGAGCGTACATTTCTAAGTAAATTAAGACAGTTCTTATTCATAGACGGAATTATAACATTTTCTAGGAAAATTAATCAATGTAAATAAATATATATTTTAATTAAAATTAATAAATATGGTATGTTTCATAAATATATGTTGTTAAGATGTGTTGTATTAAATCAGCTTACAGGATATTTCCAGTACATTTTCCTTAATCTTGCATATCCAACAGTGACCCGGAAGTATTACTTTTAGTGCATGCGCAAATGAGCTGACACTATGGATCGGCTTCCGTAACAGATCGGGGAATGACAGGCCACCTGCATCATGAAGGACCCCACTCACCCAGCACACACACTTTTTGTCCCACTCCCCTCAGGTTGAGGAGCATTAAGTGTAGAACCACTAAACTGAGGAACAGCTTCTACCCTGAAACTGTTACTCATAAATTCCTAACAGAAAAGTCACTGTAACGCCACTTTAATTGGTGATATGTTACTTTATCTGTGCTGCTGATTTCTTACCCATAAGCTGCTGTATTCATACCCATCTGCTCACAACAAATTCACATTCAGGCTGCTGCTTAATACACTGTATTATTTTACATTATTAGTGTTTAGCATATATCTTGGATCCGTATATACTGTTTCTTTTTTTGTACTTTATATATTTTTTGATATTTTTGGGTGTAACTGAGGCCTTGAGTACACAATTTCGCTTCACCTCATGTACCACATGTGATGCGAATGACAATAAAGAAACTTGAACCTTGAACCTTTTTGTAAGCCGGTTTGGGTTTAAGCGCTTGTTTATTTTTTTGGCCTGTTGATTAACATTTTTCAACATTTTACATTTTGTGATTGTTGATTCAAAGTGATGTCAACCTCATAGTAGCAAGGTCATTGCGCAGGAGTGACTCATTTCTCTCACTGTTGATATAAAATATATTACTTCAAAGAGCTTTCATCGTTGAATCAAGCTATTGTATAACTGAGCTACAGGCATTTAACTGGGCTTCACACAGTTTCCTTCTTGTATGGCAGGATTGTGTCTAACGTTTTTAGCAAGCACATTTCAAAGAAAAACACATTTTTTCTGTAATCTAAGGCTCAATAAAAATGCTCATCCACGTAATACTTTTAATCTGAAAATTGTAAACATTTGTTCCATTTTAATGGAAATCCTCTGTGTGTTTATGATTGGCAGGAGGCTTTCGATGGCCTAATAGTATTAATGTTTCATTCATAATGGGCTGTATCCCAGGGTCTGAGCGATTTGGTTTGTACTGGTACAGACATATTATTAAATCTATAATCGTGGCCGACAAAGTTAATCCTTCTCGCTAATGCATTCATTAGTTGGAAATGCAGCTCAAATTTATTGCAACATTCAGCGCAATTCAGAGCCTAAATGTCTACAATGTTGCAAGAAGTGGTGCTTTGCGAGTTTTACTTTTATACTTTTCTCTCCTTTTTATTAGTTAAATAATTTATTTTCTCAGTTATTCCAATAGATATGTATCTGAATATTACTCAGCTTGGGCAAATATCCATCTATACATCTCCACACTCCTCTTATGTGTGCTGTTCTCTGGGTTGTACTGTGCAACACTGTTCTTTGTTTTTCAAAATCTTAACTTGCATGTTTTTTTTTTTGGTTTATTTTAAAGAACTGAGCGTGATCTGTTTGGTTGCAAGGTGTTTATCCATAGCAAGACATAAAGCCACCCTTGACTCATGCGTTTTTAGTCAAGAGTTCTCATATCTTTTTCATGAGCTCATAGCAAAGATGTCCTATATCTGTAGGGAATGAGATCATGAATATTGTGTTAACCCAGAAAAGTTGAAATCCATGCATGCTTTCTTGTTCTCCTGATCCTTTAGCTTTTGTTGCTGCATCGGCCAATTGTAGCCAGGAAGAGATCAAGGGGACCCCTGTCGGTTGTGGATTATTCTTTTGTTGAAATGTCACTGTAGGGGATACAGGATTAAAAGAGCAGCGAGTGAATGGGGATTCTACAGGAAGTTGTTTTGTGACAAACGCAGCACATTAATTCTTAACGTGGAGTGTTTCCTGTTCAATAGTCTGTCATTTGTTATATTGAAAATGTGTTTATATTAACAAGAGAGCATGTGCGCTTTAACTAGGTTCTCTTTGCAGTTTCAGGTGGTGTCAGGTGGTAGGAAAATGCTTTTCAAAAATATGAACAGTTAGAATTGGGATTGTCTGCACACAGATGATGAATTTTTATTGTGTTCCCGTGTTTTCTCAGCTGGGAAAGTAAAAGGGTACAACAGCTGAACAGCTGAATGAATATAAAAATATATTTTGTCCTTTTTATTATCTTTTGTTACCCTGTGGGCTGCTCTTGCTGTAACATTATTGTCAGCATTGCGAAATTTAAGCGTGATGGATTTAATAATCTCATGTGTTTGTTCTATTTATTTATTTATTTTTTTGGTTGTTTGTTTTTTCTGCAGGGAGCCATGGACCTCGAGGCTGGGCAGCCTTATACCCAGAGTGTGCTGCAACAAACCAATCACCTGTGGATATTGTAGATGAACAAGCTTTGGTTTCAGAGGAGTTCCAGGAGCTGGTGCTTGATAAGTTCAACACGGAGTCCTCCAATCAGACTACCATGAAAAACACTGGAAAGACAGGTGAGCACAAGAGATTTAATCCTTCTTTATCTGTGGGCTTGAATACAACAAAATAAAAACAAGAAAATTTAATTCCAATTTTATTTGAGCTTGCTGGGTAAGTGACACTTGAGTTTTACAACAAATCAACAGGAAAAACAACTATTAAATGGCATAAAATTATTTTACTTTCAGGTTAAATGAAGCTTTTTGAAAAGTAATACAAACTGGATTCCAAAAAAGTTGGGACACTAAACAAATTGCGAAAAAAAAACTGAATGCAATGATGTGGAGATGGCAAATGTCAATATTTTATTTGTAATAGATCAAAAGTTTAATCTGATTAAATGTAACATTTTAAAGGAAAAATATGTTGATTCAAAATTTCACTGTGTCAACAAGGAAAAATATGTTGATTCAAAATTTCACTGTGTCAACAAATCCCAAAAAAGTTGGGACAAGTAGCAATAAATGTCTGGAAAAAGTAAATTGAGCAAATAACGAACAGCTGGAAGACCAATTAACACTAATTAGGTCAATTGACAACATGATTGGGTATAAAAAGAGCTTCTCAGAGTGTCAGTGTCTCTCAGAAGCCAAGATGGTAAGAGGATCACCAATTCCACCATTGTTGCACAGAAAGATAGTGCAGCAATACCAGAATGGTGTTACCCAGCGTAAAATAGCAAAGACTTTTAAGTTATCATCATCAACCATGCATAACATCATCAAAAGATTCAGAGAATCTGGAACAATCGCTGTGCGTAAGGGTCAAGGCCGTAAAACTCTACTGGATGCTCGTGATCTCCGGGCCCTAAAACGTCACTGCACCTCAAACAGGAATGCCACTGTCAAGGAAATAACAGAATGGGCTCAGGAATACTTCCAGAAAGCATTGTCAGTGAACACAATCCACCGTGCCATCCGCTCACGATTTGAAGTTCTTTATGGAACACTGGGACGCCATGTCATCCGGACCAGAGAGGACAAGGATAGCCCGTTGTTATCAACGCTCTGTTCAGAAGCCTGCATCACTGATGGTATGGGGTTGCATGAGCGTTTGTGGCATGGGCAGCTTGCATGTCTGGAAAGGCACCATTAATGCAGAGAACTATGTTCAGGTTCTAGAACAACATATGCTCCCATCTAGACGTCATCTCTTTCAGGGAAGACCCTGCATTTTTCAACACAATAATGCCAGATCACATTCTGCAGCAATCCCAACATCATGGCTACGTAGGAGAAGGATCCAGGTACTGAAATGGCCAGCCTGCAGTCCAGATCTTTCACCTATAGAGAACATTTGGTGCATCATAAAGAGGAAGGTGCGACAAAGAAGGCCCAAGACGATTGAACAGTTAGAGGCCTGTATTAGACATGAATGGGAGAGCATTCCTATTTCTAAACTTGAGAAACTGGTCTCCTCTGTACTCAGACGTCTGTTGAGTGTTGTAAGAAGAAGGGGGGATGCCACACAGTGGTAAAAATGGACTTGTCCCAACTTTTTGGGGATTTGTTGATGCCATGAATTTTGGAAACAACAGATTTTTCCCTTAAAATGATACATTCTCTCAGTTTAAGCTTTTGATCTGTGATTTGTGTTCTATTCTGAATAAAATATTAGATGTTGGCACCTCCACATCATTGCATTCAGTTTTTATTCACAATTTGTTTAGTGTCCCAACTTTTTTGGAATCTGGTTTGTATTTTATGTGAATCATTTAATTACTTGGTCAGTCAAAAACATACAGCCCATATTAACATGGTTTGATTTTACAGTATATGCTTATATGAAACTACTAAGAAAACATGCTATTATTAAAATTTTGAAACACAATAAAAGTAGGGTTTCTAAAATAGTTGTTTAATTATTTATCAAGTGCACAAAATTTGCAGTACTCATTTCAGTACACAGCTTCAAAGTAACTGAGCCTCACCTAATATTTCAGATACACATAAAATAATGTTTAAATTAGAAGCAAAAAGGAACATTTTACAGGTTAGTTTGAAGGAACAGGTCCCTACTAAAACATTGAGATATAAGCTATCACAGTGGGAGGAAAAACAAAACAAAAACCCACAATAATTTAAAGGGAATTAGTACTAGAGAAATTGCCTTTCCTGCGAAATGCAGTGTGAATGCTTACTGCTGAAATACTTACTGAAAAACTGCTGAAATTAGCTAAAAAATGTGCTGAATTGTAAATGGTAAATGGACTGTACTTATAAAGCACCTTTCTATCTTATTTAGATACTCAAAGTGCTTTACACTACAATCTGTGTCCTCATTTACACATTCACAAAGCACTCTATTATATCTCTACAAAGCTAATTGAACTAATCATTGTAAAGAGACTAATCAGAGCTTTATCACATTCATACACCGATGGGACACACATCGGAGACAACGAGGAGTTCAGTGTCTTGCCGACGGACACTTCGACATGTGACTGCTGGTAGATTCAAACCTCCAACCCTTGCATTAGAGGACGACTGCTCTAACCACTCAGCCACAGCAGCTCTGAGAACATGAATGTAGATGAGATGGAATAACAAGCCTAAGTTAGCAGAAGAAAGCAGAAAAAACACATATTTGCTGGATTAGGTTTAAATAAGAACTGAGCCCTAAAATTAGAAAATTAGCAAAAAAAAAAAGCTGAATTTAGAAAAAAAAAAAATGCTGAAACAGCTATAGCTGAAGCTTAAACTACCAGAAGGAAGTGAAAGGAGCTAAAAATTGGAATGAGCTTAAAAAAAGGAATTAGCTGAAAAAGCTAAATTTAGCACAAAACAGCTAAATAGTAGCTGAAATAAAAAACGCTGAAACTATCAGAAAAAAACTGAAAGGATTATAACAAGAAATTACCACGAAAACCTTGAATTTATGTGAAAACGGCTGAAATTAGCTAAAAATGCTAAAAAAAAAAGTAACTGAAAAGTTAGAACAAGTTTAAATTTGCAGAAGAAAGCAGAAAGAACAGATGTTTGCTGAAAGAAGCAGAAATTACAACAAGAAAAATAGAAATTATCTGAAATAAACACAAAACAGCTGAAAAGTAGCTAAAAAGCTGAAAGAAACAAATTATCAGAAGGAAGTGGAGAGAGCACATTTTTGCTGAATTATTCTGTAAAAAGTTTAAATGAGCACAAAAAATGTGGAATTAGCCAAAAAAGCTAAAATTAGCATAAAACACCTAAATAGTAGCTGAAATGGCAGAAAAAGCTGAAACTTGCATAAATAAGTTGAAAGGAGCAAAACAAGCTGAAATTAGCAAAAAGGAGTTAGAAGAAGCACAAAAATGTTCTATTTAGAGAGAATCTGAAAGGATCACAAATCAGCTGAAAACAACAACTGAAAGTAGCTTAAATTTGCACAAGGAAGCTGAAAGAAGCTGACCCAGAACAAAATGTGAAAGGAGCAGTAAAAGGTTGTAAACAGATCTAAAGATTTGAAGGATGAGCTCAATTCATTACCTATCGAGGAAAAACAAATAGCTGAAAAAGCTAAATATTTCAAAAGGCTAAAGTTACACAAGTACCAAGTCATGTTCTATGAACGAGCTGAACGTTTTGATGTATGATTTGCTAAAATAACAAAAATTGTGGAATGAGAGATCCCCCCCCCCCCCAAAAGAAAAGGTATGAAAGAAAAATGGATCGTAATAGTATAAATACTTCATAAACATTCACACAATACAAAATGTGATGGAAATCATACAGTCTGGAAAACGTTAATCCATTTTCCCCCCCCAAAAAAAGACAATAAAACTTTGTTGTACAGAAACTAACCTCCTTTCTGAGCAAGTCTTTCAATAAAAGCAAATAAAGAAAGTGACACAAACTTGTAATGAGTGTTTGTCCACAAGTCACTCAGATGTCTTCATGAGGTGACAATTGTTTGGGTGGTGATGGAGGCATGAGTGATTGTTGTCTGGGTTACTGGACATCCATCCAGGGCATCAGAACAAGTCTTTCAATCAAAGAAAACGTTGATATGTTGCACCAAACACACCATCTTCAAATGGCACAAAATACTCTGTTAGTTTAGTGAAAAACTCTTACTATACCCACTAACATTGACGTCACAATAATTCTCCTAATTCTTTCCAGACACGAGCTTTATCAGCATTAACAAGTTATTAATTTGTTATAAAGCAACACAATTCAATTAATTTTGGTCACTTCATTATAATTGCATTCACTCATTGGCTTAAAATTTTGATTAAAAGGCAAATATGCTGCTACTGTGCACATCTGTGTAAATAGAACTGCAACACTTTAGATTTGTTGAAAGAGATTATATGTTGCTAGGGTTAGCTAATTGACATTGCCATCACACAATGTTTGGGAAAAAGCACAAAGGTGCTCATTCAGACGAGACACTGACACGTCCAGTTGTCCTCTGTGCAAGTCTGAAAGGGGAGTATGAGTTGTTTATTATTCCTGTTATTGCATTCATTGTCCTTCCCCCTCTATCTTCTTTGTATGCAACTTGCATGCCTTGTTTACGGACACATTTTGAATCTCACTCAATTAGTTGCCATTTCAAATTACTGCCCCATTTTTTTTTCTTTTAATTCAGCAAATCCCTGGACCATTGGTTTGCAAAGCCTGACCCTAATTGATCTGTCTGCTTTTGGCACCGTTTCGCTCTGAGAGTAGTGTCATCTTTTTGCGTTTGATCATAATGAGAGTTGTTAGCCTCCATGACAACCAAGGCCACTGACACAACCGAGCAATGCTGCGGGCTGCTTATTTACAAAGTTGGAAGTAACATGGCTCAGTATAATTTTAGGCACAAGTAGCAAAGGGACAATTTAAATAGCTCTAAGTCCTGTGAAAGTAAGGGAAGTGGAGTCACATCACCACAAAATGTTCTATAGCAAAAAGGCTATTAGAAAAGGTCAACCTAAAATATAGCAAATTCAAATTACCGTGTAGTGAAATTGATTTAGTACCAGTCTCGAACAGTATTTTAAAAGAATATATATATATATTATTTTAAAACACACACACACTGT